CCCCCTCGAAACCTTACAACAATGAAAAACCCCAAACAAAATAAAACAACCAAAATACGACAAACAAACAAAGAAACAAACACAAAATTAAGAAGCCCCACTGAGGTGGCAAAATCTTGAAGCCAAAATGTCTTTAAAGTTAAAGAGGAACATTTCCAGGAGTACGTAGTCCTACATAAAGGACGAGTCCGAGATGCAGGCCGGCTATCTTTCTCGAAATAGCATCGCCGATCAAATAAACGATCTAAATTGGGCACCGCCTCACGCAGAAGCTCTGGTAATGACAGCTTACGGCGAGGGTCGGGCGACAAGAATAGCCCAGCGTATCGAAGCCCTCAGCGGAATATCATCGCAACAGTTACCTCATCGCCTTGATAGAGGAGGGGAAGGCCGTCTGAGAGTCTGAGAATCCATATGGGCAGCGGGAGGGGGGAGGTCGATGAGGAGGGAGTGACGAAGGATGAGGAGGAAATGAGGATGGGGTTGAAGTATAGGAGGATATGAGGAAGAGAAGGAGGAGGTAGAATTTAATTATGAAGGAGGAGGAGGAGGAGTAGTTGGAGGGTGATGATGATGATGATGATGATGAGGAGGAGGAGGAGGAGGAGGAAGTGAAGGATGATGAGGTGAATCTCTCTAACATTGTGCTTGTGTGGTTTTCTCCCGCGTTGTGGCGCAGTTGGTTGGAAACTTGACATGACTCTCGGGAGTCGGGGGTTCGAACTTGGGATAGTCCGAGTGAATCGTTCCATCCTGTCTGTCTGTCTGTCTGTCTGTCTGTCAGATGTCAGCCCCGTGCGATAGTTCACGGAGTCTCACGGTACCATAGCACGGTACTTACTGCCGAAAACTAGACATTGTTACTGGGGAGTTGAACATACCAAAAAGAAGGAAGAGAGAGAGAGAGAGAGAGAGAGAGAGAGAGAGAGAGAGAGAGAGAGAGGGGGGGTAGTAGGAGGAAAAAGAGACGGAATGAAATGATCGGGATTACTAGATCTAGTACTAGATTCTAGATTCTAGAACTGTTCTGAAATTCATTACTAGGTCTATATTTATTTTTAAAATCCTTATTATTACAGCTTTCAGTCCGAGATAACATTATTTTTTTTCTTGGTTCTCTGATTCATTTTTTTAAATTTCTAGACGGAAATTGTCAAGTTAGCCGGAAGTCGGAAGTTCATTTCTGCACAATTCACCTCGCTTCACAACATGGAAGTCGAAGAAAGCGAAAGTAAAGTTGAGCAGAAACATATCGTCAATTCGAAACTGCCTGAACTATATATTCGTCAAAGCATTCCCTGTAATAATAATGCCATCGAAAAAAGATCTTATATGTTTTCTAGATCTAGGATTTAGAAACGGCCAGCCACCATCGTCTGCTGATAGTGACGGTAAGTGTTAATCTCTTTACTTTTACTTTGTTTGTATTTTGTTGAGTTTGAGTTTGACCAATGACACTGCCCTCTGCTGCCTTTCTAGATCTAGAGATCTAGTTCTAGGAGTTACAGTTAGATTAGATCTTTGTCTTTAGATTCTAGATCTAGTTTGAGATCTAGATCTAGATCTAGTCTAAATCTGAAAAAGGAGTAACTAGATCTAGATCTAGGTATATATCTAGATATAGATCTATATCTACATCTAGATCTAGTATAGATCTAGATCTAGATATAGATCTAGATCTAGATCTAGATCTAGATTCTAGATGTAGATTCTAGATGTAGATCTAGTCTAGATTTCTAGATCTGGTACTGGAGAAAGTGAAAGCAGACACGTCTAAGAAAGTTTTAAAAACTTAATTCAAAGTTTCAGAACAACAACAGGATTTATCTAGATCTAGATCTAGATCTAGATCTAAATCTAGATCTAGATTCTAGATTAGATCTAGTTCTAAATCTCTAATATATCTAGATGTAGATCTAGATTTTTCTAGATCTAGAAATCTAGATCTAGATCTAGATTTTTTGATAAATTTGTACTTATAATCTACGCATGCGTATAATCTAAAGATCTAGATCTAAGCCTATAGATGCCTGTGCACCCACAGATGCACTGATTTGAGGGCTAACTGCCATAATTTTTGCTGCAGAACGCACCTATGGCCACCAAAACCCTTGCAAATCAATTGTTTTCAAGTAGGGCCTAGGCTTAATATACTTAATCAGTCCTAATTCCCAACATCAAGAGTCATTGTAAAATACAGGGGGACAAGCCCCCCTGAAACCCCCCCAGTTTCTTTATAACTTTATAGGTCAGGGGGGCATGCACCCATGTTGTGAAAAGCAAGTCAAATTACTACGCCACTGGTCCTAGATCTAGTTCGGTTTTCAAACATCAATAACTCAATTTATAACTATTTATTTGCAGCAAAAATGAAGGCCATGTTCGTGTTCAGCATGCAACTTACTACTAGATATGATCTAGTCTAGATCTAGAAAAAAAAGTTTAGTATACACACGTGTAGATCTAGATCTAGTATGAGACGGGTGCATGAGTAAAAAAAAAGATTTTTTTTAGGTAGTCTAGGCCTAAACCCTCTTTCTTTGAGGAGAAAGACAAAATCATTGATCAATTGGAAGTCCAGTCAAAAATTAAGAAGAGAAAATTAAAACCCTTCCAAAGAGGACAAAATTTAATTTAAGTCATGGGTTCAAAGTAACGGAACTTTTACAGTGGCCTATGAAGGAAAAGCTTTTCCAACAGCATACTTTACATGATGTTCAAATAAAATCAGGACAAAACAATACATTCTGATACTCTAAAAGGTATAGGATAAAAAGCGCCCCCCACCATCCACAGCTTTTTAATTTAAAGATTTTTTA